AAACGAATGCCTCTTTGAAATATTTATTAATCTTAAAGGATATAATAGAAATTTATTTTCTTGCCTTTTAGTAAACCGTCAATGGTGTAGAAATATCATACCAATATTATGGTGTGGTCCAGTCCCTTTTTATAATAGAAAATTTATAAGAACATGTCTTTTAGGATTAAATTTTGAAGAACAAGCTCAATTAATTCCATTTGAAGTAATACTTTCAAATCATCCAAAACCATTATTTGAATATACAACTTATATTACAACCATAGATATTATTTCTGATGACGGAATTATAGATTGGCTTAATCATGAAGGATACAGATCTCATGGTTTAATAAGTTACAAATATGTGGCTCAATCTATTAAATATTCTTTGGTTTCAATGTTTTTACGAACATGTGTTAGACTTAAAGATCTAAACCTTTATAATATAGGCCATAACAAGATAATGAACTTATTGGCAAAAATACTTTGTAAAAATACAACATTAACGTCCTTGAGTATTACTTGTAGTAATCTTGATTCTGAAGGTGAAAAAATAGCCGATGCACTTTGTAAAAATACTACTCTGACTTCTTTGAGTCTTGAAAACAATCAGCTCGGTTTAAAAGGTGGAAAATCATTGGCTGAAGCTCTTTGTGAAAATACTACTCTGACATCTTTATATCTTTATAATAATAAACTTTGCGTTGATGTAGGAAAAGCATTTGCCAACGCTCTTTATAAGAATACTACATTAGTTCATCTAAATCTTTCAGGTAACGAAATTTCTTCCGAAGGTGTAAAAGCTTTAGCAATAGCTCTTTGTACAAATACTACTCTAACATATTTGAGTATCTGGAATACTCAGCTCGGCTTTGAAGGCGTAAAAGCATTATCAAAAACTTTATGTGTGAATAATACTTTAAAATTTTTGGATATTAGTAATAATGATCTTGGTTCTGAAGAAGGAAAGGAACTTGCTGAAGCACTCTGTATGAATAATAGTCTTTCCTTACTAGATCTTCGATATAATGAACTTTGTTCTGAGGGTGGAAAAATAATAGCTGAAGCACTTTGTAAGAATACCGCTTTAACGCATTTAAACCTTTCTAATAATCTACTGGGTTCAGAAGGAGGGAGAGCACTAGCTAAGGCTCTTACTGTAAATAATACACTGACCGACCTGAATCTTAATCATAATCAAATTGGTATTAAAGGTGGAAAAGCTTTAGCTGGCGCTTTTTGTGTAAATACTACTTTAACTCACTTGGACATTTCAAATAATTTTCTTTACTTTAGAGGGGGGAAAGCAATAGCAGAAGCTCTTTGTAAGAATAACATTTTGACACATTTAGATCTTTGTAATAATTATCTTGGTTCCGAAGGTGGGAAAGCATTGGCAAGAGCTCTATGTAAAAATAATAGATTGACACATTTAAATCTTAATAGTAATCAACTTGGATCAGAAGGTGGAAAAGCACTGGCGGAAGCTCTTTGCGAAAATGAAGTTCTAGTTTTATTGGATATCTGGGATAATGAGCTTGGATCTGAAGGTGGAAAAGCATTTGCGAAAGCTCTTTGTAAGAATACTACTTTAACTTCTTTACATCTTGATGATAATCAACTTGGATCTGAAGGTGGAAAAGCATTTGCAGAGGCTCTTTGTAAAAACTCTACTTTAACTTCTTTACATCTTGACGATAATCAACTTGGATCTGAAGGTGGAAAAGCATTTGCAGATGCACTTTGTAAAAACAATGCTTTAGTTTCCTTGTATCTTGGTGATAATCAACTTGGTTCTGAAGAAGGAAATGATTTAGTTGAAGCTCTTCGCAAAAATACTACATTGACTTTTTTATACCTTGAGGGTAACTCAATTAGTAATAAAATTATATATTTGATTAATAATTTACTTATGAAGAATAGTAACAAGATTTAATATATGTATGTTCTCTTTCGTAAATTAAATAGATTATTATTAAATTTTGTGGCTTTTTTTGCCTGAATTTATAGTAAAAAATGGTAAAACATACTTTTTTTTTTGCTTAGCAAAGTTTCTAGTTACAATTGTAATATAGTGTTAAATATTTTAAGCAAATAATCGTATGACGCGATTTGTATAGAAATACATCACACGCTGCATAATCTTGCACTCCTTCCTGGTATTCGCAAAATCTTTTTGTTTAATAAAATTTCTACCTTTTACTCATCATTTAACCTGTATTTTGTAGTTTTCATGTTCTTCCATGAGTTGTAAATGTAATTTTTAATTTAAAGTTAGCAAAGTTTATAAAATTTTAACGTTTAAAGTGAACACTTTTGTGATCAAGGTGAGGGATTCATTATCCGAACTTTTTAAGTCAATGTGCTTTGTTCGTTATTACAGTATTACATATATTTAATTAGAACTTTGATTATTTGGATAATTCTTTGAATGATAATAATGAAATAAACCAAAGGTTACGAAAAAATAGAAAACTTTAAAAAATGGCGATTTCATTCTACTAAAAAATTTTATAATTTAATATTGAATAATGTTATTTTGTACAATATACTAATAAAATGTAACCCTTAAATACAATACTTCTTTAAATACAATCCTTATTTTTGGTCCAAATATATAACAACAGACAGACTCACATAAATGCAATTTCTAAATGCAAACTATCAAAAATTTAGTTTGCATTTAGAGATGTCTGTAATTCAGAATTTCTTAATTACTTTTTCTGATTAGTGCCTGGATAAACATTTCCTACTAATTGCGTTGTCCATTTTTCATAATCATGATTATGTCCAGGACCTTCATCAAAAATATAATAATCAGCAGAAATTAAAACATCATTAAGATTTAAATTGCTTCCACCACGAGCAGCTACAATTTTGATTTGATTAGGGTGCAAACTATCATCACCATTCATATCAATATTAAGTCTTTGCATACATTGGGTAA